GTAGACTAAGCCTCATGGGTCATTTTGCCTTGGAGTTAGCATTTCACATATATATCCAATACATTTTTGCAAACAAGAATTCCACAGGTTTGGTAGATAAATGGCACTTTGTAAAGCTGGTATTTTGAATGCTGACAAGTTTTAATCTCAAGCAGCTAATTGTTTGATTTCACTGTGGACTTTTATTTGTTTACAGCGTTTCCTCGGAGCATTCAAAGAACTTTATTTTATGAGCCGATTCTTAATGAAAACAACACTTTCTGGACTGCTAACATTCTGTTGAATCACTGAAATAACAACAACAAAGCAGGATTGGTCAACACAACCATCTTCATTTTGTTAATCTGGAACCTGCTGAAAACTACCTAACTGATTTCTGGGCTTATTTCTGAGTTAACAAGCACTATGCACTGTTAACACTTTGTGGGAGATGATCACAAAATGATGCCTCTCAAATTGTGTTGTTGGGATAATTTCCATGTTGACATTGAGGATAGTATGTTTAAATACACCGATGCCTGTGAAAATGCTGTCCAGAATCCTCTGCCACCTAGAAAAAGCTACTAAGCGATTTTACTTGGCAGGAAATCATCAGAAGGACACAAAATGTATCAGTGGAGAAGAAGTTACCATTTTTTTAAAAAAGTATCTAAATTTCATGCAGAATTATTTTCTCTCTCCCTCCCCCCCTTCTTCTTCAAGCAGAATTGAAGCCAGGCTGAGTTTAAAGAAAAATATTAACGTGGCAGAGAGATTGGATGGCCAAGTGACCCCATTTCAAATTTTGGACGGTAGGAGAGGCTTGAAACAAGCCATAACACGCACAAGAGACACACAAAACCTCTCGCCTGTGCTAAACTCCTGGCAACGCAAAAGCAAACAAAAAAAATAATAAAAATAAAACAACTCTTGTCCAAACATCGGTGAGTTTGTTCAGCGTTTTATTAGCCAGATCAGGTAGTCTGTTGTTAGCAATACCGCTTTTTAAAAAAGTTCTTCTCACCATGCCTTCTAACTGCGAAAGATCATCATGATTTTGGAGGGGGGCGGGCGGCGGAATATTCCAGGTACCCATATTGATCAAAGCTAGTTGTCCTTCCTCTTCCCCCCCCCTCTTTCTTCTCATAGCCTGTTTAATGGGTTTTCTGCACCCTGTTTATTCTGAGTAGGTCAAACTCACTCAAAAGTTGTGTCCTTTTCTTCAATTCAGTAGAGGTTAAATGCAGGGGAATGAATATGTTTTCACCACTACGTATGCACATGAAGACTGAGGAACCTTGAGGTGGAGGGACACACCAGAGGTTGGTTGTTCCACTCTCTCCAGCCAAGTGATGAAAATCTAGAATCGAGGCGTCCTCCTTCTGTGGGATGGAAGACCCTCCCCCTCCATCCTCATCCCCAATTGAGTCCAGGTTCTTATACTCAGTTAGTATACAGCCTGTCATTTCATATCTTGCAATGTCCAAGGATCACAATCAACCACGGGACCCTACATTTTGTCTCCTTTATGCAGCAGGAGATGGATGATTATCTGTCATAATCACATGAGGCAAGAGAAACAGAGCCATCACCGAGTTGCAGTGTGTTGTGGGCCGTCAGCAGCCAGAGGAGCCAGCAGCAGATTCAGACAGTGAGGAGGTTGGGGAGGAAGATGGGCCAGTCCTGGAGTCTGGGGAAGGCTCTGATGAGGGCTCTGTGTCGGAGGCAGAGCAGGGGTCAGGGCTGTCTGCCAGTTATCAGCTGCCTAGAA